CTCAATGTCAAGAAAACAAAAATCCACGTTGTATGAAGAGAGAGAAGGTTAGCACTCCCCTTAACAAGGATGGAAGAGGCCCTCGGGCCTTACAACACACATATGGTTAAGGAATTGCCACCTACTTCTTGGCATCTAACCACTGTTTTTTATTTAAAAGGGCTATATGATTAGATATTATTGTCATGACAGGAGTCCAGAACGAAGGTCGCATAGTGCAGTGGACTTGGGTGGAGGAACTGTATAACAATGAAAGAATTTTTTATTTTACTTTTCAAAAAGAAAAGTGAATTGGGGGAGGGGGGTTGGGTGGGCAGGGAGAAAAGTGCAACAATGAATGAATTGAAATCCAAAGTCTCTGTAAACTTTCATTAAAATAAATTTAAAATATATTAAAAAAGAAAACAAAAATCCTCACCATTGGGCCAACAGGTAACATCATAATAGATGGAGAGAAAATTAAAGTTGTCAATGATTGCTTAGATCCACAACCAACACCGTTAATATCAACAGTCAAGAAATTAGAAGACATGTTGCATTGGGAAAATGTGCTGTCAATGATTTCTCCAAACTGCTAAGGAGAAATGTCAGTTTAAAGATTAAGGTGCACTTGGCAAAAGCCATATTTTCAATTGCTTCACAAGTCTGGAGAAGTTAGACAATGAATAAGGAAGCTCTAAGATGACTTGTTTGGTGAATCAAGTCATCCCTTAATTCCTGGGGTATTTATTCTTTGATATGTTTCAACAAACAGATACATCCCTAAACAGGCTCACTAACCTATACCAGGAAATTTAGAGGACCAACTAATTGGGAGAGATCCCTATTTGTTCTCATTCCCAAAAAAGGTGATCCAACAAAATATGGAAATTATCAAATAACATTAATATCACATGTAATAGAATATCAGAAGATTGGCTATTTTTTGACTACACAAAGGCATTTGACTGTGTGGATCATAACAAATTATGTGACTGACAGTGGTGTTATTATTGTTGTTGTTATGTGCCCTCAAGTCCACTACAACTCATAGTAACCCTATGTAAAATAGGTCTGAATCCTGCTCTATCCTGAGCCAATCTCATTGTCTCTGACACACCTGCCCTCATTACCCTAGGTTTTATGTCAATCCATCTCATCCTGGGTCTTCCTTTCCTGTGCTGTCCCTCAGCCATTCCAAGCATGATAACCTTTTCCAAAGACTGGTCCTTCCTGGCTACATGTTCAAAGTATGTGAAGCGAAGTCTCAAAATCTTTGCCTCTATGGTGCAACCACTGTGGAAGGCGGTATGGCGCTTTCTCAAAAAGTTGCAAATAGAAATACCATTTGACCCAGAAATTCCACTACTGGGAATATATCCCAAAGAGACCATAACTGACATCCAAGCAGATATATGCACACCCATGTTTATCGCAGCTCTGTTCACAATAGCAAGGAGTTGGAAACAACCCAGGTGCCCATCAACAAACAAATGGATAGAGAAGCTGTGGTATATTCACACAATGGAATATTACGCTGCATTGAAAAACAAGGAACTCATGCAATATTATTCAAAATGGGTGACCCTGGAGGACATTATGCTGAATGAAATATCTCAGTCGCAAAAGGACAAATATTGCATGGTGCCACTGTTGTAAAATGGGACTGATATCAGGGTTGGGGTAAGACTGAGAAAAACTGGATAAATTGTGTATATTGCACTGAAACAGATGAGGGAGTGAATAATTTAAAAGCGATGTATGATAGGGTATTATGGTTATCACAAGAGTCCACAATTAAGGTTGCATAGTGGAATGTACTTGGGGCGGTGGGAGGGGTGCGGGGGGATTGTGTACCAGGGAGGGAGTGTTTCTTTTTCTTTTGAAAGAGAGGAGCGAACTGGGGAGGGGGGAGGGCTGGGTGGGGACAGAAGTGCAGCAATGAATGACTGGAAATCCAAAATCTCTGTAAATGCTCATTAAAATTATAAAAAAAAAATCTTTGCCTCTACAGGAGGATCTTGGTTTCACCCTCTCCAGGACTGACCTGTTAGTTCTCTTAGCAGTTCATGTTATGTTCAAAACTCTTATTGTGGCTGACAATAAGAATGGGAATCTCAAAACACTTGTGTTCATGCGAAACCTATGCCTAGACCAAAAAGCTGTTGTCCAAATAGAACAAGGGAATACTGCATGGTTTAAAATTAGGGAAAGTGTGCATCATGGCTCTATCCTTTTTTCCATACTTATTCAATGTGTATGCAGAACAAATCACTCAAGAAGCTGGGCTATATGAAGAAGAATGTGTCCTCGGGAAGCTGGGCTATATGAAGAAGAATGTGTCCTCGGGAAGCTGGGCTATATGAAGAAGAATGTGTCCTCGGGATCAGAGGAAGACTCATCAACAATATGTATGCTGCAGACAGAACAGCCTTGCTTGATCCCAGTGAGGAGAATTTGAAGTGCTTGTTGCAGAAGATCAAGGACTGCAGCCTTCAATATGGGTTATATCTCAACATCAAGAAAACAAAAACCTTACCTCTGGACCAGGAGGCAACATCATGATAGATGGAAAAAGAGATAGAAACTATCAATGATTTCATCTTGGATGGATCCATTATCAATACCCTTGGCACCAACAAGCAGGAAATCAAAAGACATTGCTTTGAGAAAGTGTGCCGCCAAGGATCTATCCAAAGTGCTGAAGAGCAATGATGTCAGTTCCATAATCTTTTCAATTACTTGCTATGCTGCTGGAAGTTGGACAATAATCCAGGATGTCAGAAGAAGATGACGGATTTTGAGTTATGGTGCTGGAGAAGAGTGATGAACATCCCATGGACTGCCAAAAGGACAAAGAAATACATCCTGGAAAAGTTGCAGCCAGGGTGCTCCTTGGAGACAAGGACAGTGAAATGTCATCTCCCGTATTTGGCATATTGTTAGGAAGGGCCAGTCCTTGGAAAAGGCTATCATGCTTTAAAAAGTAGAGAGCCAACAAAAAAAAAAAAAAGAGAAGAAGACCCTCAAGTAAATGGACTGACTTACTGACTACAACAATGACCCCTGGAAGCACAGAAGAGATTGTGAGATTGGTGAAGAAACAGACAGCGTTTTGTTCTCTTTGTACACAGGGTCACTAGAAGCAGAAGTTAAATCAATGGCACCTAACAACAACAGGTCAGCTTCACCCATATCTCCCACTTGAGCAGCCCTTCTTATATCTAGAAGTTGATCACAGCTGGAAAACGATAACAAGTCATCCTCAGTCAGACATGCCAGCAGAATCCAGTACTGTCTTTTCCTCCAGCCCTTTCAGCTTGCATTGTCCTTTACATGCCTTATCTCCTCTCCTGCTTTTTCACAGGCTCCATCCCAGCATCCCAGGAAGATAAGAAGCAGGGGAATGGAGAGAGAGAAGAAAGGATTCAGAACAGACAGCCCTATGCGGAAATGAAGAGGACAGGTTACTATAGAGAATTGTGAGCCACAGTCCACCACTCCCAACTACTTCAATCCACCTCAGCTACTTGCTCCAAGCCTCTGAAGCCTTCACAGACAGAGTTTCCAGTTCAGGCTTCAATACTCCTGACTCCCCCTAAATGCTTTGTATATGTTAGTTGTGTAACCATCCCTCTCTTACTCCAAGTTTCCTGGGAAGAAAACATGACCAAAATCAAAGGGAAAGAGAAATATCCTGCCTGTAAGCCTGTTTATTCTACCTGCCTGGAGCTCATGTCTTTCCTGCACCGAGAAAACAGAGAATTCTGTTTCCATCACTCATCTGAATCCAGATCTATGGTAGAGAATTGCAAACTTCCAGAGTGGTACAAATGGTTAATGCATATGACAACTAACTGAAAGGCTGGCTGGAGGCTTGAGTTCATCCAGAACTACTTCAGAAGAATGCTTGACAACCTACGTCCCAAAAATCAGCCAGAGAAAACTTCAGGGAGCACGGCTCTCCTCTGGCATGCATGGGATTGCCATGAGTAGGAATCAACTCAGCAACTGATTTTACAATGGCAGCTGAGAATAGTGGCCCAAGGACTAGACCCTAGCTGGTCCAGGGCTGTGGATTCCTTCCACAAAGACAAAATAAAGTCTGGAACCAGAGATATGGGCCCACTGAGCTCTCCTCCGATGAAGTTTCCCTCAGACTTTATGTGGTGGTGAGAGAGACAACGAGCTTTCGCCTTCAAGGACTCCTTTCTAGGAATCTCTAGAAGACTCAGCCACAGGTCAGCCTAGCTAGCCCTCCAGAATTCTTCCCTTCCTAGGATAGGTGGCCATCTGTTTTGGTCCCTTTTGAGGACTCTAGTAACAACTTTCTACTCTCCCCTCCTCCTCTGCCTAGTTCTTCTGTCTTGTCTTATCTTTTCAAAGCTTGTGCCTATAACTGGTCCTACTTTCCATCCCATAGTTTTCACACTGCCCAATGACACCCACTCACTTAGGCTGGGCGGTCCGCCTAGCCTCCAGGATGCTTTGCCCCACCCCTCAAGGTATCTATCTACACACACAGCCCCGCCCCCTGGAGCTCAGCCGCCTACTGGGTATTTCCCAAGGCTGGAATCCCAACATCATTCCCAAAGCTGCTTCTATCAATTGAACAGCATTCCCCCAAGGACCCTCTGCTACTCCCCAGTCCCATCCCCACCTCTGCCTCCTGCTGTCACATCTCTTGGCCTTGATCCACGCTCCCACTATGCCTCTGAAGCAGCTTTCCCTCGTTGCCCGACCCCTACAACTGCCCCCACAACCAAAGCCGCCTTCTACCCAGGTCCCCGCCCCCTGCGCCTCAGCCCCCAACAGCTGCAATCCCCTTCAGCCCCGCCCCCGAGTCCCACCGCAGCCCCTCACAGCCCACAGTCTCTTTTCCCCTATCCCCAGCAGCGCTACAGCCATTCCTCGCCACGTCTTCGGCCGCCACCCAAGCCCCAGCACCCAATGTCGATCGCTACCCGGACACGGCGAACCGCCGGGTCGGTCCAGAAGGGGATGGGGGAGGGGGCCGGTACCTTTAATTCGCCCAGCTCCGCCATCTTGAGACATCGCAGGCACCGGAGCCCAAGCCCGAGCTCAGGCCCAGGGACCGGCGTACAACTCTCCACCCCGGCGCCGGCCGCAAATGCCGCCTGCTCCGCCCCGTCCGGCCCCCTACACCTCCCCTTCCCGGCCCCGCCCGCCTGGCTCCGGACAAGCCCCGGCCTCAGCCCCTCCCTCAAAGGCCGGACTCAGCCCCGGCACGTCGTCCGCGGGTCTGCAAGCCCGCTAGACCCGCTCGAAGAGTCCAGCTCCAAATCGTGGGGTCCCGAAGGGTAACGGAGAGAAGGCGGAACCCAAGTGCCTGGGGGAGGGGAGCTTTGCCACGCTAGGATTGGGAGGGGATGAGCTCTCAGGAGTCAAAGATCGTAGAAATATGGAGGGAAAGTATCGGAAACTGCTCGGTCTCAAGGGATTGGGGGAGGGGGTGAAAAAGCAAAGTTAGAGCGAAAACCCTCATCTCCATATATCAAAGTTTTACAGGCTAAAATCAGAGAGTTTTACTAACTCGAAAAATGGGTGAGTTCTGGTTCATTTGGGGGAAACTATGGAATCGTGAACAGTTGAAACGACGATTCTGAATCCTCTACCACCTCCTGCCCCCCCCACACACACACCCCAACTACAATGTAGCTTGTGCTAAGGCCGAAGAACTCAAACTTCAGCAGCAAAAAGTTGAGTGTTGGGAGCGTGACTTACCAGCAGTTTCGGGGAACGGGGAGGGGGATCGGAAAACTCCAAAGCGGGTAGGGAAGGTTGGGGAAGGGGACTCGGCGCCGCTCCGCAGTCTGCACGGCTGGAGCTCCTTAAGGGCTGCTAGACGCTGCAGCTGCAGCTCCGCCCGGGCCAGAGCTCCGCCCGACCCAGGGCTCCCGCAGGGGCCGCCCCTCCGGGCTGAGCCCGCCAGGATCGCCGAGCCGGGGAGGGCGGGGCCTGGAGCGGGCGGAGCGGGGTTCCACGCCTCGCGTTTAAAAGGATTAACTCCTCCCGTGAGTGGACAGGTTCTTGGCTCCCTGCTTTGAAAACTCTGATCCCTTAGGCTGCTGTGTGATCTTGAGCTGGAGGCACCCTACAAATAAGACTGTGGAGTCTGGCCGCATAAAGAGGCCCCTGCTTGAAGTGAGGGGAGCTCTAGCGGCACAGTCTTTAGGATACCGAGGAAACTCACTTTCAAGTCCTCACGCGGAGCCTGCAAGATTGTGTCATCTGCATTAAAGCAAGTTGTTGATGCGTCTTCCTCCAATCCTGAAGTCACATTCTTCTTCATAAAGTCCAATTTCTCAAATTATTTGCTTAGCATACAAATGTAATAGATACGGAGAAAAGATACAGCCCCAACATACACCTTTCCTGATTTTTAAACTATACAGTTTCCTTGCTGTTTGGACAGCTTCTTGGTCTAGGTATAGTTTGACATGAACACAATTAAGTGTTCTGGCATTCCTGTTCTTCTCAGTGTTAGCATAGTTTGTTGTGACCCACATAGTCAAATATCTTTGCATAGTCAACAAGCCACATTCTTCTGGTAGTGTCTCCGTTCAGCCAAGATCCATCTGACATCAGCAATGATATAAACCTGGTGCCACGGCTTCTTCTAAATCCACCTTGAATTTTTGACCGTTCTCTTTCAATGTACTTTTCTAGTTGGAGCTTTTTTGTTTTGTTTTGTTGCATTGGCTTGGGATTGGTTTTATTGTTGTTGTTACCATCCTGTACGATAGTTAATAGAAAGGCTTTAGGTCTTTTGTTCATAGGGTCTCTATGAGTCGTGCTCAACTCAATGGCAACCAACAACAACATACTATTCGTAGGTTAAGTATAAGGTGTGCCTGAACCCTGCTATAGTCTTTGCAATTGCTTGCTGTGCATCACACAGATGGACAATGACTGGGGATTTGATGCCTTTGAGCTGTGGTGCTGGAGAAAAGTATTGAATATACCATGGACTGCCAGGAGAACAAACAGGTTTGTCCTAAAGAGAGTGAAGCCAGGCTACTCCTTGGAGGCAAGGATTCTGAGGTTTTATCTGACATACTTTGGGCATGTTGCAAGGAGGTCCTTGGAGATGGATGTCATAGTTGG